ATCCTCCCCTGAGACCCCAGTGTTCCCGAGCTGTGTAGGGGGGAAGGTCCATTATCCCCCCTCCCCATCTCCCGGGACCCCCCAGCTGTGTAGCTGTGAGGGAGGCCGTTAACCTCCCTCCTTGTTGCCCAAGACACCCCCTGCCCCTCCCCCACTCTGTAAGGCAGGAGGCCTGTTTATCCCTCTTACCCTTGCCTGAGATGCCCCCATTCCCCCCAGCTCTGTAGGGGGGTGGCCTGTTATCCCCCCTTACCCTCGCCTGGGACTCCCCTCGTGCCCCAGCTATGTGGGGGGGAGGCCTGTTCACCACCTTGCCCTTTGGCCTGTATGTAATCATGCAAGGATCCCTGCCACATCTCCTCCCCCCGCCCCTCCCCCACGTGGATGCAGTGAAACCCCTTCCCTCCTTCCTGTCACCCCATTATGGGGCCCACCCTCACTGTTCCCCTTGGCATATGTGGCCACCCTGGACCTTATCCCTCACTGCTCCCCTCTGCTGCTTCACTTCCTGATGATCTCTCTCTTTCCTCACTAAACACTACTGCCCATTGGCTCTGAGGACAGATATTTTGTTCAACTGGGATGAACTGTGTGTTTTGTTCATATTGTCCCAGTAGTGAGACCCCTGTGGGGGGGATATTATTGCTGACAGTGGCACCATAGGAGTTGTCATTTATCCCCTTAAACCAGAAGTCAAAATTTGACAGGCTTTTCTGTGTATTGTAAGGCATTAAAACAGTTGCAAAACATCTGAGAGAGTGATGCAGTATTAGGCATAAATGCAGTGCACTATGGTAGGCTCCAGTGTAATTTGGCAACAGAAAAGACTAATAAAATTTCAGGCTGCAGAGACATCTAGTCACAGAGCAGGGAGGCAAGAAGGCCATTCAATATGATTCTTACTGCAGCAGCATTCTGAACATTGCATTCAAGTTCTGGGTAGGTTTGCCAGCCCTCCAGGATTGTCTCCAGGAATTAAAGATTAATCTTTAATTAAAGATTACATCATAAAATGAAACCTCTAAGAATATGTCCAACCAAAATTGGAAACCCTAGTTCTGGGTGCCACATTACTGGAACGGTACTGATAAAATGGAGGGTGCTCAGAGCAGAGCAACAGAAACTAGTTTAGCTAAAATGACTGAGAGAATGGGAATTATATGCCATTATTGGATCTTTCAGGTACTTGGTACCACTGATCACTGGGGCTGGATTTAAGGCATAGTCACAACCGTAGAGCTCCAGATCCTGGAATTGCATGAGGAGAGAATCTGAGTTTTCACACTTAATTTTTTTTTAAATCTTTTTTTCTATTTTTTATGGTTCCGAAGAAAACCTTAAAAACATGGCCTACATTTAACTGCTGTCTGCCGATAGCCTGCAACAATAGCTCTGTGAATGTCACCTGCCCACTTTCTCATTATGCTAACTCTGAAACTTGCTTCTCTGAGACCCCCCCGTGATGGCACCTGAGCAGAAAACTCAGATGGGGGTAGCCTTTGCTTCTGCCTCCTCCTTATGGCTCTGTTTGGGTGGTGTCAGGAGCTGGTCCCCACACATCCCCCCACCCATTTAGGTAGGTGGTGACTGACTCCTCCCTCTGGCATGGCATAGATCAGTGGTTTTCAAACTTTTTTTCTGGCAACCCAGTTAAAGAAAATTGTTGATGCCCATGACCCAGTGGAGCTGGGGATGAGGGGTTTGGGGTGCAGGAGGGGGCTCTGGGTTGGGGTGGGGGCAGGGGATTGGGGCATGGGATTACCTCAGGTGGCTCCCAGTCAGCAGCGCAGTGGGGGTGCTAAGGCAGGCTTCCCGCCTCTCCTGGCACTACAGATTTCATTGCGCCTTAGAAGCAGCCAGCAGCAGGTTCGGCTCCTAGGCGGAGGTGCGCAAGCGGCTCTAGCCCGCAGGCACCCCCCCCTGGTTCCCAGCCAATGGGAGTGCGGAGCCAGTGCTCAGGGCAGGGGCAGCACGCGGAGCCCCGTGGCCCCCCTGCTTAGGAGCCAGACCTGCTGCTGGCCACTTCCGGGGCGCAGTGTGGAGCCAGGACAGGTAGGGACTAGCCTGCCTTAGCTGGGCAGCACCACCGATGGGACTTTTAACAGCCCGGACAGTGGT